AAGTCAACAGACCACAGTGCTCGATAGAACCTGTATCACAGACATTAAGTCAACAGCGCTTGTTACAAACTGTATCTCAGACATTAAGTCAACAGACCACAGTGCTCGATAGAACCTGTATCACAGACATTAAGTCAACAGCGCTTGTTACAAACTGTATCTCAGACATTAAGTCAACAGACCACAGTGCTCGATAGAACCTGTATCACAGACATTAAGTCAACAGCGCTTGTTACAAACTGTATCTCAGACATTAAGTCAACAGACCACAGTGCTCGATAGAACCTGTATCACAGACATTAAGTCAACAGCGCTTGTTACAAACTGTATCTCAGACATTAAGTCAACAGACCACAGTGCTCGATAGAACCTGTATCACAGACATTAAGTCAACAGCGCTTGTTACAAACTGTATCTCAGACATTAAGTCAACAGACCACAGTGCTCGATAGAACCTGTATCACAGACATTAAGTCAACAGCGCTTGTTACAAACTGTATCTCAGACATTAAGTCAACAGACCACAGTGCTCGATAGAACCTGTATCACAGACATTAAGTCAACAGCGCTTGTTACAAACTGTATCTCAGACATTAAGTCAACAGACCACAGTGCTCGATAGAACCTGTATCACAGACATTAAGTCAACAGCGCTTGTTACAAACTGTATCACAGACATTAAGTCAACAGACCACAGTGCTCGATAGAACCTGTATCACAGACATTAAGTCTACAGACCACAGTGCTCGATAGAACCTGTATCTCAGACATTAAGTCAACAGACCACAGTGCTCGATCGAACCTGTATCACAGACATTAAGTCAACGGCGCTTGTTACAAACTGAATCACATACATTAAGTCAACAGTCCACAGTGCTCGATAGAGCCTGTATCACAGTCATTAAGTCAACAGACCACAGTGCTCTATAGAACCTGTATCAAAGACATTAAGTCAACGGACCACAGTGCTCGATAGAGCCTGTATCACAGTCATTAAGTCAACAGACCATAGAGCTCGATAGAACCTGTATCACAGACATTAAGTCCAATATATTTTGTACACATACTCCTCTAAGTTAACACTCTTCAGTGCTGTATCACATTTTCATGTCCTATTTGATATAGTTACAGTGTTAATCAGTAGACGTTTAATGAATTGTAAAGATTGTGTTATATTTAACAGTTGTATTGAGCAAATACCTCTCACTATTGATTAAGCTTGTTGTTCTATTGGTCAAGGGAAATATTGTTCCTAGAATATTTAGTGATATCGACCATTTCTAGCAATAAAACCAAGTAAGATACTCCCCTAGTGCGTTTATCTTGATCACAGTTACCGAAGTTAATATAAATAGGGCCCTGGATCTGAGTGTTAAGAAAATTCAATATAGTAATTTGTTTTTCTTGTAATATTCAACACATTGATATAAAACGCACGATTTCAGAAGAAGTTACAACAATTACTTCTTCAGTATGATTCGTAAAACGAGTACCTGTTGTTACGACCTAGTTATGAAGTCGTTACTCGGCAGATGTACTAGAAAATTGATTTTAAATACATGCAGTTAAATCCATTTCAAGATACCCAGGACAGTATTGGTGTATGGCATGTTTGGATGAAACAAAAACAAGCTTTGTCTTATATATTAAATGGTTATAAACAACATTTACTCGATCATTACATTCTTGGTGATTTCAGTTCTAGTTTAATCAATTGGACCACTCATCCAAAGGACGGACAATTATATTCTATATTCAAATATCATTTTAGTTTGGAAGATTACGTAATACGGCTAAGCTAAAGAGATGAGAAATGTAAATTTAGAACTTCAAGTGATCAACTTTCGGTAGACATAGAAAAATGGGTCGAGACTCTGGTTTCCTTCCACATTAAGGTTCCACCGTGTCCTACATTACTACCACAATGGCCGACAAGAGTGATTAATATAAGCTGATATAAAACACATGATTGTTATAAAAGACACAAAGATCATATCAATGCTTAGGACCATGTGCTTAAGTACTCAGGAACACGCTAACATTTAGAAAGAAGTATATTTAGGAACATTCAAGTGCTAAATGTAAACTAGAAACATGTGCATACTTACACTAAGGAACATAAACATGCTAACACTTAGTAACATAAACATGCTAACACTTAGTAACATAAACATGGTAACACTTAGTAACATAAACATGCTAACACTTTGTAACATAAACATGCTAACACTTAGTAACATAAAAATCCTAACACTTAGTAAAAACATACTAACACTTAGTAACATTAACATGCTACCACTTAGTAACATAAACATGCTAACACTTAGTAACATATACATGCTACCATTTAGTAACATAAACATGCTAACACTTGGTAACGTATACATGCTAACACTTAGTAACATAAACATGCTAACACTTAGTAACATAAAAATCCTAATACTTAGTAAAAACATGATAACACTTAGTAACATAGACATGCTACCATTCAGTAACATTAACATGCTACCACTTAGTAACATAAACATTCTAACACTTGGTAACGTATACATGCTAAGACTTAGTAACAAAAACATGCTAACACTTAGTAACAAAAACATGCTAACACTTAGTAACATAAACATGCTAACATTAACATGTTAACACTTAGTAACATAAACATGCTAACACTTAGTAACATAAACATGCTAAGACTTAGTAACAAAAACATGCTAACACTTAGTAACATAAATATTCTAACACTTAGGAACATATACATGCTAACACTTAGTAACATAAACATGCTAACACTTAGTAACATAAACATGCTAATACTTAGTAACATAAACATGCTTACACTTAGTAACATATACATGCTAACACTTAGGAACATATACATGTTAACACTTAGTAACATAAACATGTTCACACTTATTAACCTAAACATGGTAACACTTAGTAACATAAACATGGTAACACTTAGTAACATACACATGCTAACACTTAGGGACATATACATGCTAACACTTAGTAACATATACATGTTAACACTTAGTAAAAACATGCTAACACTTAGTAACATAAACATGCTAATACTTAGTAACATAAACATGCTAACACTTAGTAACATATACATGTTAACACTTAGTAAAAACATGCTAACACTTAGTAACATAACCATGCTAACACTTAGTAACATATACATGCTACCATTTAGTAACATAAACATGCTAACACTTAGTAACATAAGCATGCTAACACTTAGGAACATATACATGTTAACTCTTAGTAAAAACATGCTAACACTTAGTAACATAACCATGCTAACACTTAGTAACATATACATGTTAACACTTAGTAAAAACATGCTAACACTTAGTAACATAACCATGCTAACACTTAGTAACATATACATGTTAACACTCAGTAATATAAACATGCTAACACTTAGGGACATGTACATGCTCACACGTAGTAACATAAACATGCTAACACTTAGGGACATGTACATGCTAACACTTAGTAACATATACATGCTAACACTTAGTAACATAAACATGCTAACACTTAGTAACATATACATGTTAACACTCAGTAATATAAACATGCTAACACTTAGGGACATGTACATGCTAGCACTTAGTAACATAAACATTCTAACACTTGGTAACGTATACATGTACATGCTAACACTTAGTAACATATACATGCTAACACTTAGTAACATATACATGCTAACACTCAGTAACATAAACATGCTAACACTTAGGGACATGTACATGCTCACACGTAGTAACATAAACATGCTAACACTTAGTAACATAAACATGCTAACACTTAGTAACATAAACATGCTAACACTTAGTAACATAAACATGCTAACACTTAGTAACATATACATGTTAACACTCAGTAACATAAACATGCTAACACTTAGGGACATGTACATGCTAGCACTTAGTAACATATACATGCTAACACTTTGTAACGTATACATGTACATGCTAACACTTAGTAACATATACATGCTAACACTTGGTAACGTATACATATACATGCTATCACTTAGTAACGTATACATGCTAACACTTGGTAGCGTATACATGTATATGCTAACACTTAGTAACATAAACATTCTAACACTTAGGAACATATACATGCTAACACTTAGGAACATATACATGCCGGACCCTGTCTTATAGAATATCACTGTAGGTTTTCTGATCTTGATTGATCTCTCCTTAGTTTTGTTTTTGAAATAACTGTGGTGGCATTGGGCCAGGTGACCACGCAGGTAAGTCAGTGAGTAAGAGCGACCGTCACAAGTTCGAAGGTCAAGGGTTCGAATCTCAGTCTATCCCTGATACATTATACTCGCCTGTAAAATACCATGGCGTATTGTTATTTGGTTATTTTCAGAAAAAAATATCTATCAAACCTATATGCATGCTAAAAAACAACGTTTCAGATGCATGCAAAGGTACAGTTTGTGGCAGAAGCACGGGGATCCTTATGTTCTCAAAACAAAACCTACGTCAGCAAACTGATATATAGTCCCAGAAAAGGGTTGGTAGCTAAATAGTGTAATAGTTTATTATGTTGAACTGGTACGATTAAAACGTATTCTAGAAAATGTTCAAAACTCATAAAAGCTGGATTAGACGTTAGACGCGTGTGTAACCTAAACTCAAGGTTAGAACCGTTGGTGCCAGTGGTACAGAACATTGCTTAATAGGAACTACGCGTGCGTAGCTCCCACACTCTACACGTGTATTTCACACCACACAAGGACAATGACAGAGGGTTCCTGAGGTAGGGTGTGTTGTGGAAACTACTGTGCGCATCTATACGTGAAGTATGTATTTGATGGCTGTAGTTTTCATGGTATTTTCACGTTTTTGTTGCATAGGAATAAAATCTTTTTGATATTATTTTCACAGTATGTGTTTTGTCAGTGTGTCTTAAGGCAAAAAGGTAAACCAAACGATAGAAACTGACACATAAAAAGAAATATAAATTACCTGTACCACTCCAATCCTTTGTGGTAGTGTTTATCGAAGAAATGAACTTCCGGTCCAGGTGCTCGTATGTCCGGATGAACTCTTAGAAAAGTTAAAAGTGCCCGTGTTCCACACCTTCTAACACCAATTATAAGGGCCTTGGGAAGCCGCTTAGCGGCACCTTTTGAGATCTTTTGAAGTTTACCGCGTTCGTGCGATTTTTGTGCGTTTTCGTCAATTTTCTCGTAATCGTCGACGTAAAATGTATCCGTTTCCGGTATCTGTCCACTTTGCGCATGTCTGTCAGTGTCAGGCAAATCGTGAATCATGTACGCTGCCTCTGGTCCTTCATCGATGTCTAGAATAACATTTGACGTTTCGCGTTTTACCTGTGTGGGGCGGACACGGGGGCTGGTCATTTTCCGGACGCCTGTCACAAACCGCGTGGTGTTTAGGATGCTGTGGGGTGGGCCCTCGTAGGACCGGGTCACGGCGGAGAAAACGTTTAATATGGCAACTAACACTATGGTACCGACCCCACAGATACACACTGTGGAAGGAACCAGATATTTCTTCTTACCACGACGGAAAATCCACCAAAACCGAATCTTTTTCATATCAGTCATCCTTCATCCCTGTACACTAGTCTGGAGCAGAGATATCCAATCCAAGTGTTACTCAGGGACGTACAATTCTCCAATAATTCACAAGTCTGGTCTGCCACAGACCCGCCGTAGTAGAGGCGGCACGGCACGCACACACTAGTTGCTTTAGTCAGCCTTACAGTCGCTGTGTAAACAAAAACAAACGCTGAAGCAATATTACTACACGCCGTTAGTATTTCCCCACGTGCATCACACGTAGCACATTCTATCAATCGTGATGTTAAATATGCCTTCCGTAGACATACCCAGTAGTGTAAGTTCACATTCCCTTACGCTGGAGCAAAGACAGAAGATATCTTTGATTTTTTTCCAACACGAGTTATGCATTGCCCTCCCCCACCAAACAGTGCTATACGAGCGTTTCTGCAGTGTCTATATAGTCGTAGACCACTTGTGTCTATGTTGAGGTACCACTTACCAATGTTACTGTAACAAGCTGCACTCCTCGCCCAGTAAAACACACTATGTTCCACTTACGCCTCTTACTATAACACCTTACTCCTTGAATCTATAATCACACAATGCAAAAGCTTTTTATTGTACAACCATTCATTATAACCGCTTAGAAAGTTTAAACGAAACTCGCTTGGTATGAAGACCAAAATAATACTGTCCAACTATTTTCGAGGACGTATCCACTTTCCTGAGATTGTTACGATTGTTACAAACTTGAGGCTGGTATAAATCGCATTTGTCTACAAATCTAGCACTCTGTCTGTACTTTCATTGAACGTCTCCAATTTAATTAATTATGATCCATTTCCTCGATATCCAATATTGGTTTTTCAGACAAAGCGTACAGTGGCAATCCAAACGTTAGTGATAGAAACAGGCGGATACGCACCACTAGCCATTCTGTAGCACGTGTACAGTGCTAGTTGGACCAGCCTCTGACTTCTGCACGCTAGAAACATATATCGAGGACCATTATATAAAAATGGGATTTTTGTTTGGTACCATAATTTCACATCTTTTTTTTCCACGCTTTCTTCCAAATTATGAACTCCATATACTGTGGTCATCAAATATACACAATAAGAACTTCACCAAAAATGTCAGCTATACAAAATTCATCTGGTTAATACCCACTGAACACCACAGTATACAGCAACCATAATTTACAGTTATGCTTCGGACAGATACCAGACATCTTCTGGAAAATTATCTAGATCATGTATCAGGTACTGACACGCTTAGTTCTGACGAAAGTTCATAACTCCCTGGAAGTAATGTGATCTGAGGAACATACGCTCACTAATCCGCAGTAAATCGACGGCAAGTACCAAGGGTCTGTTTGTAAGACCAACGTCCAGTGCTTGTTAAAGGGAGCTGTAAACTGACCGCCTCTCCTAGGTCCTGGGACGAAGTACTTGTCCGATGTGTGTTAGAAGTGGTGGCACGCGGACTTGTAAACCCTAGCGTGTTGCCTGCCCCCTTCTGCTATTGTAATTATGTCCGCTATTAGACAGAACTGCATATATATACAGGCAGCCCGTATCTCACAGATCACGTTTTAAATGTATAGCCTCCGAGAATCAACCCGCAGTGGTTATGGGACTAGGTGAAAATTACGCGTTGTTTAAAGTCTTAATTCGTTTCTAAGGTTATCAATTTGAGCAGTGATTACCAGAGATGTACCTAGGGGATGTTAGATGCTAAAGGCACGTACGTCGCATGCAAACCAATTATGCAATAACCCCTTTTTAAAAAGAATATGCAATTTGATATAATTTGAGCAAAGGTGCACGTGGCCTATGGGAGTGATTTAATTATTTCCGATAATTGTTTCGCCCGTAAGGTTCTGTAATAAAACATGAACAGATCTAGACAATGCATGCACATTGGCATCAATCATGTTTCACTCAAAACAAATACACCTGCTATTGATCTAATTAAGTTGCTGTAATCACATTCCCCGTCCCAGTCTATCACTGTCAACAGTTTAGCTATGGACAGGAATAGATCGTATTGCATCTTCATATATGGCTGGTTTTCCTTCCCTCCCAAAGGTGCGATTCACTCACTGCCTTTGTCGTCATATGACCTTGGGCTGTTGCAAAACCGCAAAACCATAAGCAAAATTTATTTTGGGGAGTTTCAAGGCAGGAAGTTTCACTAAATTATCGTTAAATTTCAGCTTACTTCAACGACAGCCAATCTATCCTTTACGTTGTGTTCAGATGTGTGTGGTTATAATAAAGACGGTAGATATCGTCTATGTTTCAAAGGTTCGAGTCCATATTTCTAGGCGACGAAATACAGTTGATCCCTTTCTGTCCTTCAATACTTCGATCCTCTAGCTAATTATTTTCGTCCTCCAATCTGCCTCGCTTCCGATTTGTTTGGAATAATTGTTTGTGGTCAGCTGCACTATGACCACTGTGATTACCCAAACCACACAACGGTGATGGCCTTCCGTCTCTTTTTTCTTGACTACAAATAGTCAGATTTAAGATACAACATGTGTAGGTCAGGATATTTAAGATACAACATGTCTAGGTCAGGATATTTAAGATACAACATGTCTAGGTCAGGATATGTAAGATACAACATGTCTAGGTCAGGAGATGTAAGATACAACATGTCTAGGTCTGGAGATGTAAAATACAACATGTCTAGGTCAGGAGATGTAAGATACATCATGTCTAGGTCAGGAGATGTAAGATACAACATGTCTAGGTCAAGAGATGTAAGATACAACATGTTTAGGTCAGGAGATGTAAGATTCAACATGTCTTGGTCAGGAGATGTAAGATACAACATCTCTAGGTCAAGAAACGTAAGATACAACATGTCTAGGTCAGGAAATGTAAGATACAACATGTCTAGGTCAGGAGATGTAAGATTCAACATGTCTTGGTCAGGAGATGTAAGATACATCATGTCTAGGTCAGGAGATGTAATATACAACATGTCTAGGTAAGGAGATGTAAGATACAACATGTCTAGGTCAAAAGACGTAAGATACAACATGTCTAGGTCAGGAGATGTAAGATACAACATGTCTAGGTCAGGAGATGTAAGATACAACATGTCTAGGTCAGGAGATGTAAGATACAACATGTCTAGGTCAGGAGATGTAAGATACAACATGTCTAGGTCAGGAGATGTAAGATACAACATGTCTAGGTCAGGAGATGTAAGATACAACATGTCTAGGTCAGGAGATGTAAGATACAACATGTCTAGGTCAGGAGATGTAAGATACAACATGTCTAGGTCAGGAGATGTAAGATACAACATGTCTAGGTCAGGAGATGTAAGATACAACATGTCTAGGTCAGGAGATGTAAGATACAACATGTCTAGGTCAGGAGATGTAAGATACAACATGTCTAGGTCAGGAGATGTAAGATACAACATGTCTAGGTCAGGAGATGTAAGATACAACATGTCTAGGTCAGGAGATGTAAGATACAACATGTCTAGGTCAGGAGATGTAAGATACAACATGTCTAGGTCAGGAGATGTAAGATACAACATGTCTAGGTCAGGAGATGTAAGATACAACATGTCTAGGTCAGGAGATGTAAGATACAACATGTCTAGGTCAGGAGATGTAAGATACAACATGTCTAGGTCAGGAGATGTAAGATACAACATGTCTAGGTCAGGAGATGTAAGATACAACATGTCTAGGTCAGGAGATGTAAGATTCAACATGTCTAGATCAGGAGATGTAGGATACAACATGTCTAGGTCAGGAGATGTAAGATACAACACGTGTAGGTAAGGAGATGTAAGATACAACATGTCTAGGTCAGGAGATGTAAGATACAACATGTCTAGGTCAAGAGACGTAAGATACAACATGTCTTGGTCAGGAGATGTAAGATACAACATGTCTAGGTCAGTAGATGTAAGATACAACATGTCTAGGTCAGGAGATGTTAGATACAATATGTCTAGATCAGATGATTTAAGATACAACATGAGTAGGTCAGGAGATGTAAGATACAACATGAGTAGGTCAAGAGATGTAAGATACAACATGTCTAGGTCAGGAGATGTAAGATACAACATGTCTAGGTCAGGAGATGTAAGATACAACATGTCTAGATCAGATGATTTAAGATACAACATGAGTAGGTCAGGAGATGTAAGATACAACATGTCTAGGTCAGGAGATGTAAGATACAACATGTCTAGGTCAGGAGATGTAAGATACAAGGTCAGGAGATGTAAGATACAACATGTCTAGGTAAGGAGATGTAAGATACAACATATCTAGGTAAGGAGATGTAAGATACATCATGTCTAGGTCAGGAGATGTAAGATACAACATGTCTAGGTCAGGATATGTAAGATACAACATGTCTAGGTCAGGAGATGTAAGATACAACATGTCTAGATCAGGAGATGTAAGATACAACATGTCTAGGTCAGGAGATGTAAGGTATAACATGTCTAGACCAGAAGATTTAAGATACAACATGTCTAGGTCAGTAGATGTAAGATACAACACGTCTAGATCAGGAGATGTAAGATACAACATGTCTAGATCAGAAGATTTAAGATACAACATGTCTAGGTCAGGAGATGTAAGATACAACATGTCTAGATCAGAAGATTTAAGATACAACATGTCTAGGTCAGGAGATGTAAGATACAACATGTCTAGATCAGAAGATTTAAGATACAACATGTCTAGGTCAGGAGATGTAAGATACAACATGTCTAGATCAGAAGATTTAAGATACAACATGTCTAGGTCAGGAGATGTAAGATACAACATGTCTAGATCAGAAGATTTAAGATACAACATGTCTAGGTCAGGAGATGTAAGATACAACATGTGTAGGTCAGAAGATGTAAGATACACCATGTCTAGGTCAGGAGATTTAAGATACAAAATGTCTAGATCAGGATATGTAAGATACAACATGTCTAGGTCAGGAGATGTAAGGAATTTCGGTATTTCATATCCTGCATACCTTTTCACGTGTATGATGTTACAATGGTTTAATTGGACGTGACGTCCTGATGATATTGAAATTTATAATAATGTATTAACCGTATAAGCTTTATTTTAAAAATTGGGTTATTAAAACGCGCATGTTTAATCTCGCTGACTGATTTGTTTTTGTCTGAAACATTCAAGTAAATATTTTATATTTTCAAAGAGGTAGACAGCTAAAACGCCTTTTCATGTTTCCTGAACTTATACTCAATCACGCCAGGGGCTTTGCATAGGGATATCCAAACTCTCGAGGTTTTCAAATTTTGGGCAAACCCTCGGCTAGTGGGATTTTATCAATTTTGAAAATCCCTCAGGCTTGATGTTCCTATCTTTCACCACTTGGCATGAACGAGTTTTTATTCATCCAAGCTATCCGATCAAAACATATTAGCATGTACAATTCTAGTGTTTTTGTCAGAAACATACAAACAGAACACAGCTTTTCCTGTTCGAGCCTAGCTCTACCCAGTACTAGATAGGTTACCACAACAGTGTAGTTACACAGTCATACCTTGTGTATGTCTGCCGAACGATTCTCATCAGATTTTGCAATTGTAAAGAATACTTTGAAGTGGTTTCCCCCTCGTTGTACCCGATCTTACCCTCATAGATTTCTGATGTACACCCTACTCAACCGTCATCATTACTTCATTGATTTCCCAATATTCTCTTTCTCATTGTAAAGTGTCGTTATTGAAAATATAATCATAGTGTTTAGCAAAGTGTACGTAATATGCTGGTGTTTGTAAAATAGTGTTGTGCTGTCTCTGCTATATTTGTATGGTGGTATTGTGCTGCTTTCCCTGTATGTATGCTTATGGTGGAGATGTGCTATCTCCATATAATGTAACGCATTATACCAGTGCTTGTATGATGGTGTTGTGTACTATCTCTGCTGTAGTTGTATGGTGGCGTTGTGCTGCTTTCTCTGTATGTATGTAACGTGTTTATACTTATGGTGATGGTTTGCTGTCTCTACTGTATTTGTATGGTAGCGTTGTGCTGCTTTATCTGTATGTATGAAACGTGTTTATACTTATGGTGTCGTGAACTATCTCTACTGTATTTGTATGGTGGCGTTGTGCTGCTTTCTCTGTATGTATGTAACGTGTTTATCCTTATGGTGATAGTTTGCTATCTGTACTGTATTTGTACGGTGGCGTTGTTCTGCTTTCTCTGTATGTATGTAACGTGTTTATACTTATGGTGATAGTTTGATATCTCTACTGTATTTGTATGGTGGTGTTGTGCTGCTTTCTCTGTATGTATGTAACGTGTTTATACTTATGGTATTGTGTACTATCTCTATTGTATTTGTACGGTGGCGTTGTGCTGCTTTCTCTGTATGTATGTGACGTGTTTATACTTATGGTATGGTGTACTATCTCTACTGTATTTGTATGGTGGCATTGTGCTGCTTTCTCTGTATGTATGTAACGTGTTTATACTTATGGTATTGTGTACAATC